GTTCCCTGCTTAATCCTGGCCACAGGAGCGCTGCATCTGGATAGCGTTTCCTGTTGTTAGGCCTTATAAGCTCATTCAGTGAAATCTATGCCGCATTGGTTTGTGGTGGTAAATAGACAGCTATGAAAAATATAGATGAAAACTCTCTTGGTAAATAGTGTGATCTACAGCTTATCATAAGATACTCTACCTCAGGCGAGCAAAACCTCGAGACTTCCTTAGTATTTGATTTTGTGCACCAGCTTGTTTGTTACAATATACACAGACCGCCACCCTTGTCTTACCGGAGTCAGCCGTTCTATCCTGCCGATGTAGCGTATAGCCCACTAGCTGTATGTTATCCATGTCGTCATTCAGCCACGACTCGGTGAAACATAAGATATTAACAGTTTTTAATGTCCCGTTGGTAGGATAACCGTAATCTTAGGTCATCCAATTTGTTCTCCAATGATTGAAGATTGGCTAATAGGATTGATGGGAGCGGCAGTTTACTCGCTCGCCGTCGGATCCTTACAAGGCACCCCGACCTACGTCCACGATATCGCCGTCTCTTCCTCATGCGAATGACAGGATTTGGGCCTTGTCGGGTGTCTGTAGGATATCCTTCGCGGGCGCCTCGTTGAAGGAAAATCTTCGTCCAATACGAGGTGAGTAATCGCTGTCTGATATCCAGAAGCTCTTTTTGGTTATAAGAGACGATGGAAAAACATTATGTACAAAATAAATTACAAATAACGCGGAAAAACACACATATAGTAAAATTGGTTAGAGGGCTGTAAAACGGCAGCCATCTTCTCCGGCGCTGTTTTCATTAACCTGACGCACAAAATGGACAAAGTCCTTAGAATCTGTGCAGCACTTGTTAACATGCAGGGTGAGATCATCCATGAGAATGCAGAAGGGAGCAGTGAGAATGTTCATTCATATGAAATGTAACTTTATACACTATAATTTCATCCACATGAGATACTGTGTATATATACTGACATTTTATTTTCAGCCTACATTTAGTTTCAGGGCTGGGTTTTTTGAATGTTACCACCCACCAGCATGGCATTGTTTATTAATCAGAAACAACTGCAAAGTTATTCCTCTTGCTACTGAGATGAACCAAACAGCCTTGTGTCTACATGGCCACCTGAGCCATGGAGCAATGCAAATAGGTTATTTATGTTTTTCTTAACCAGAAAAGTATCAGATAACCAAACCCATACCAAAACATTTTTGGACTCACCTTGTTGTGCTGTGCTCACTTGAACAGGAAGGTTGTGCGGCGGTCCTTCGTGGGAAAATTTGTTCAAGTCACAAATCTGGCATTTTCTGGATTTATGGGACTTTCAAGACAACTGGAAACTCGGAAAAAAAAACAAGGTCTAATCATGATGACGTCAGTGATCTTCAGGTCGGAGCTTTAGAAAGAGACCAGAGTTCCTGACTTGCAATTCCGAGTTGGATGACCGTTCAAAACGTACTTTCCCATCGGAGCTAGTTTTTGTCAGAGTTCCCAGTTGTCTTGAACTCACTGAAGTCAGAGATTTCCCAGTTCCCGAGTTTCCAGTTGTTTGAGCGCTGCAGAAGTCATGCTGGATTGACAGCATGGCCATTGTTGAATGTTTATCATTTAAGCTTGGAAAGAGAACCTTAAACCCAGACATGGACCAAAGACCCACTCCACTGCATAGCAGGCTAGTGATTGCTTTGCAATGATTGCAGTTAGCCACTGATTCCTTCCAAACCACTCAATGTTGAAATTACGATTTCCAACTTGTTGTGTAATGTTTATGTCCAATGGCCGATGAGCACCGAAACGTTTTATCTATAATTTCCCTTCATTATTTCTCTTCATATGACAAGGATTGAAAAGGATTTGCCATTAGCTTGCTAGCTAAGATTCTGAAAGTATGATGTTGACATGATCAGTCCAATCAAAGCTACTGTAGATATAACGTGATTTGACGTCATTTTATCTGTGGCCAATGACCTTGAGCTTCTTGGATGGGCACTTCAAATGTAACTCTATGGCAACACCCAAGGGGCTTGAATTTTCGAGCTCTACCGTAGCTTTTGCGGTGACTAGTGTCCCCATGAGTGACAGAACACTGAGCCAATCACGCTCAAGTCAAGAACATTACCAACCCCTACATTCCGTATTTTCAGCTGGCTGCCCCTCCACCACAGAAAAACACTGAGCTGGGCTGAAACACCTGCATTTTGGAGCTGCCTTACTCAAGAAAGCAAAAAAGAGACCAAGTTTGGTACGGTGCTTTATTAACTCATTTCTTATTACAATTACAGGCAGCATCATGTTATGGGTATGCTTTTTACTGGGCAGGGACTGAGGAGTATGTTAGGATCAAAATAAATATAAAAGGGAGCAAAGGACAGTAAAAAGTTAGAGGAAAACCCGCTGTAGTCTTCTAAAAACCTAAACGCCGATAGTTAAATTTTCAGCGGAACAATTACACAAAATTCTAATGTCAAAGACACACCAGAATGGCTTTCTAAGAGGTGTTGAGTGTTCCGGGAATGGTCTAGTAATCTCAGTCCTGAACTAAATCTGCTTGAAAATCAGTGACAAGCGTTGAATACTGCTGTCCATTAATGATTCCCAACAAATGTACTGAGCTTGAGTAATTTTGACAAAAAAATGGACATGTTGTCGTAAGAGTTGTGCAAGGTTAATACATCTTATTCAAAATTATTCACAGCTGTAATGTAATGCCAAAGGTGTTTGCACCAGTACGTGAAGACATATGCAATCGATACATTTCAGTCTTATTTTAACCCAATGTAATACCTTTTAGATGTAATTTAAGGCAGCAAAATGTGAAGAATGTGCAAGGGGTGTGTAGACTTTCACTAGCGACTGTATGTCGGAGCATGCAAATTATAATCCCGCCTCATGAAGTCATTAACATATACTTTTCTATACAAATGCAATTATCAATATTAAACAAATCTAATTTTTTTGTTATATCAATAATCTAATTTGATATCGCAAAATAATTTTGATATAAAACAATTTGAATTATTTATCTACTTTTTTATTATTGATATAAAAAATACAATTATTAATATCAATAATTCTATGCATATTTTAAAACGTCTTTCCATAGGTGGGGGACAAGACCCTGTCAGAGTGGAAGGACTTGAGGCTGATTGCATTTGACAACAAAAATGACTAGTTCATGCGAAAGCTTTGACCAATCTAAATGGTATTCACTCCATATCATTACAATTGTCTGCTTTATATTAATTATCTCAAATACAACACTAGAGGGGATTATGTACTGTAGATTCTGATGCAATAGAATTAATGAATATAAAACATGAAAAAACTGCTGAATTAAAGTTACAATTGCAAAATTATTGAAGAAATAAAGATGAGCAAAAAAATATAAAATAAAATAATAATATAAATATAAAATAAATAATACAAATACTGAACTATGCTTCCCCCCAAAATTTTTTTCAACTAATACCATTGCTCAAGACATTTTGTTTAAAAAAAACTAATACTTTTTTTCTCTCAAAAAGATAAGGGTAACAATGATTGTCACCCGTTTTTTAATACTTTTCAATACCTCACCTTGCAATGATAATGGTATTGAGCCTTTTTCTAAAATGTTATGAGATTGAGAACACATTGGGAGGGATCTTAGACCTCTTAGTCCCCATACCGAATCTTTCCAGAGCCTTGATATACTTTGACTTCCCTCTTCAATTCAAAGGTTTCAATGGGGTTGAAATGGGAGACAGATGCCATTGCAAAGTTTATTGTGGATTTTGATGTGCGCTTGGGGTTATTGTCTTGCTGGAAGATCCAGTTGCAGCCACGTTCAGCCTCCTGGCAGAGGGAATTCAGGTTTTGCTAAAATATCCTGGACCGGGAAAATTTCCCTGCGGGC